ATTTTATCGTTGTTGCTATTTGTTATAATTCTCTTGTATTCAGAGGGGATACCGTTATTTTCTGTTATTTCTTTTTTATTGCTTCTTCTTTTTTGCGGAGAAATAAAGTGAGACACAATAATAATTATTGTAATGATGATGCGCTACGTGATCTGTATTTTGCTTCTTGCACTTTGTTGTACTTGCAGTATAGTGTTGGCTACTACTCTTCAACCTGGAGGTGGTGGTCTTCCCGCAACTGAAGTTGATGATCCTGATGCTGCAGTTAGTGAACCGCGAACTGAGAATAGTGAACTTATTGCTGGTCTTGAACCTGGACGTGTTGGTACTGGGGTAGGCGGAGGAAGTGGTGGTGGAGAAGGACAAGAATTGGTACGTTCTTCCAGTATCGTTCGCCCTGAACAGGAAGGAAAAAAAACTGTGGATGAAAGTTCTGAAAAGGAGCAACCTGACCACAAAGCACCTGCTACGTTAGTGGAACGCCGTAATTCTGGTACTCTTGGCCATTCAGAATACCCAACACCAGAAGGACCTGAACTTCAATCTCCACTTGTACAGTCTCGTTCTCCTCAACCTGGTACTGAACCTATTCCTGGTGAAACAGGTGTTGCTGGTACTGGTGATGGTGGTGTGAAGGGGAATACCCGTACGGTTGAAGGAAGCAATGGTGGACCGATAGGAGAAACTCATTCTTCTTCTCCAGGATCCAGATCGAGTGGTGACAGCTTACCAACGACCAATCAGAATGAACAAAATGCTCCAAGTGAGAATGCTAACACTGAGCCTGCATCTACACAAGAAGGTGCAGACTCACAATCTTCTCCTACACCATCTACTGAAACTCCTTCCGCATCTTCACAGGCAAATGAGAGGACTCAAGCATCTGAAACTGAAAATGCTGAGAATTACACAACACCTGCAGAGAGTGAATCAAGTACAACCACCACCACCACCACAACAACAACAACACTTCCTCCTGAATCCACAAACAACAAGAAGGGTGATGCCGACAGCAGCAGCAGTATCAGCAGTTCTGTGTGGGTGCGTGTACCACTACTGATTGTGGTTACACTGGCCTGTATTCTTGTGTGCTGATTGTAATGGTGTGGTGGTGGTGGTGTGACTCAGGTCATCCTTTGTTTTCTTTTTCTTCTTTTTGCATGAAACCCTATAGTCTAACTAATTTTCCACCTGTTGGGAATTTCTTCTTTTTTTTGTTTCTTAATGTTAATGTGTTTTGTGTGTTTTTGCTCTCTGTGTGTTTATCCTATAATAATTATTGCTACTCCATTGTGTGTGTGTGTGTTCTTGGAGACTCTCTTTGTGTGTGTGCACCTGGGCTTGCACCGTGATAATAATTTTAATTTGCTTTTTGCAGTGAAAAGAAATAATAATAACAGATGAATAGTTATATTTCTAATTGCGTATATGTACACATATATAGACTTACACCCATAGTTGGTGTATTTCTTGTGTTTACTGGGTAAATTGGGCTAATGGTTAATATCTTTGTTTGTTTGCTTGATGATTGTGCTGGGTCGTTCAGCCTTTTTTGAGATATTTCTGAGTGTGGGCTTTTTTTTTGTTTTTACTCTTACTGGGGCTATTGAGCTGTATTGCCTTCTTTAACTGGTAGGTGTTTCTTTCACGATGTGAGGTTCCATGGTGGTAATGGCGTTTTGTGTGTCCTAACATGTTTGATACTTCATTTATTTTATTTCTTTACTTTTTGATTGTGTTTCTTTCTAGATCAGTGTTTGTACGCACAACAAACTATTTTTTCTCTCACGATGATGAAGATGAACAGTGTGATGTGTGTGTTGGCCGTTGTGCTGTGCTGCGCCTGCGGGTATACCATGGCGGCTGCTGCTAGCAACGTGGCGTCACTTGTTCCTTACTATGGTGATTATGCACATGGTAGTTCGAACAGCCGTGGAAGTTCTTCTACTGAGCCAGAACAATTATTGAATAAACCAGCGACCGGTGTCGAAGAAGTAGTGACATTGCCAGATGCAAATCCTGAAGTATCTGCTAATGGTAAGGGTGAATATCTTGTTGTTACCTTCGAACCAATTACGCGAGCTACTTACGACAAGTACTGTAAGAAGAACTCTTCTTCTATTATTAACGGAAAAAATTGTTCGGTGTTGTTAAATTATCTGGAGGCAAAAGCTAAATTACCACCATCGCCTCCTA